ACTACGAGTAGAGCTATTTGGTGCTTGGCTTATATTTACTTCCAAAAGGTGCTTCTTATCATCTTCTAAAGCTTGCTTCACAAAATGTGGTGCAGTAGTGTAGACATATGGGTCGGAAGTTTTAACAAAATATTTGGCTGCCTTTGCTAGCTGATCCGCTACAGCATTTTGTTCTCTGTACACATGTTGGACGGACGGATTATTAAGCTGGTTGAGGAGGTACCTGCAGTCATTAATCATATTGGCAAATGGAAGATTATCAGTTTGCAACATTGTAATAATTTGTGTAGCATCTATCTCAACTTCTGTGGGCAGCAAATTATATTGTAAGACCAATTTAAGTCCTATAATCAAAGCATATAATTCTGCTGATAATGTCGATCCCTTTTGGATAGCTTGTGCATACCCTAGTATCCATTCACCTTTTGAATCTCGAATTGATCCTCCAATTTCATATGCATCTGTGCCATTGGCTCCGTCTGTATTTAACTTATAAGTGTTGTGTTCAGGAGAATGCCATCCAAGATTAGGTGTACGTTTTTTCTTAGGTTTATGATAATAGGCTGTCAAGTAAGCAAACTCAGTAGCTTGGTAGATTGTTAATGAAACGTTAACCCTTTCCTTTAATGAATTAAAATTATTCTTATTACGAGTTAACCAAATGTTCCACGGGCTTATAGGTAAGTAAGTTTTGAGGCTTAAATTGTAAGGAAGGATTAGTCCTTTAGAGTTAATGAGGGAGTATAGCCAATTTTTAGTACCTTGTATGCCTCGTATATATGTAAGAAGATTTTTAAGGCCTAATTCCTCCCAGTAGGCAGTAGCATTTTCGCAAATAAGAAAGATGTGTTCAATATTTTCTTCAGCACATTGGCAGTAAGTGCAAGTGTCATTTTGAATTAAATGAATGTTGGTAAGATAAGCTTTAGTGGGTAACCTATCGCGGTATAGAAGCCAAATAAAAGCTTTTATCTTGGATTGGATTGGTAGCTTCCATATCCACAAAAAGTTAGAAGGATGGGTCAGTGATGTTGTGACTTTGTTTGTCAAATATGGTACCTAGAACGAGAGGTAAAAGTACCCGTTTGTGTTAACACCCAGTATGGAGTTCCTGATTGTTATGAACTTGTGAAATGTAAATTTGTTGTATTGAGTGAGTAATGTCCTTAGGTAATTCAAAAGGCATGGCTTGCCAATCCCAACCCTCTTTAGTTAGAAAAGAAGATACTTTGATGTTCTTCTGGTTTAAAGGTAGTGACCCTTGTATTAAGGATCGAATTGTAATTCCAGAATTTAACCAAGGGTCATCCCAAAAGTTAATGTGTTGGCCTGTTCCAACCTTCCATTTTAAACCTTTTTGGCATTGTTCCCATCCTTTTAATATATTTGACCAAATCCTAGAGTTTTTAAAGCCCTTTTTTCTAGTTAAATATTTATTAAGGAGTATTTGAGCCCATATTGCCTTAGGTAATTTGAAGACTCTCCAAGCTAAATTAGCAAGGAGTGCTGAATTTTTCATTTCAAGGTTTTGAATGCCTAATCCTCCCAACTCTTTTGAAGTGGTGATGATATCCCATTTTAAAAGGTGAATTCTTTTCCTTGTAGTAGTGGTACCCCATAGAAAATTTCGCTGGTATTGATTAATTTTAGTAATAATCGTAGTTGGAATGTGAATATATTGCATAATATGGTTGGGTAAGTTATTTAATGTTGACTTTATGAGCGTAGCTCTTCTTGCCATCGTTAGGAAGTTAGTTTTCCATCCTGCAAGTCTATTTTTAAAGTTATCCAGAAGGAATTGGAAATTCTCCTTTTTTGGTTTTCCTTGGAACATTGGAAAACCTAAGTATTTTCCAAATGATATGCCTTCTTTGATACTGAAGGAATCCGTGACAAATTGTTTATCTGTTGGCTTGCAATTTTTGGAAAAGTAAATTTTTGATTTATCAAAGTTAATTTGTTGTCCTGAATGATGCATAAATTGATTTAATACATCAACAATTGCATGACAACTTTTAGTAGTAACTTTTGAGAACAAGATAATATCATACGCGAAGAATAAATGTGAAAGTGGTGGTCCCTGTTTAGATATCTTGATAGGTTGCCATTGGAGATAGTCTATTGCTATGGAAATCTTATGTGATAACATTTCCGTACACATTATAAATAAGTAGGGCGATAATGGATCACCTTGCCTTATTCCTCTAGTTGGTGAGAAATATTGAGTCCTGGATCCATTAATGATGATTGATATGGAAGATGTAGTAATGCACGACATAATTAAGGATACCATAGGTGCTGGTATATTAAAATAGTGAAGAGTTTGTTTGATGAAAGACCATTCCAGTCGATCAAACGCCTTTTCTAAATCCAACTTCAGGATCATAGCTGAAGACTTACCTTGCATTTTTGCAAGGTAATTTAAAGTTTCTTGCACTATTATGGCATTGTCCGAAGCCCTTTTTCCTTGTTGAAAACTAGTTTGTGTAGGTCCAACTATTTTAGTAGCGATAGGCTTAAGACGATTAAAAATAATTTTGGTGATAAGCTTATACAAAGTATTACAAAGACTAATAGATCGAAATTGCTGTATTGTAGAGGGATGTTTTATTTTTGGTATTAAACAGGCTAGGGTTTTATTCAATTCCTCAGGAATAATATTAGTACTGAAAATTTCTTCACAAAGAAGAATAACTTTTCCTCTAACTTCTGACCAATACCTTTGATAAAAATATGGATGCAAATCATCCGGACCCGGTGCTTTATACGGTTTAAAGCTAAACATAGCTATTTTTATCTCCTCATGACTGATAGGTGCACCAACAATTGAATGTCAGTATGTGATAGGTTACAAGTGCTAGGGTCCCAACGAGAATTAGTAGTGCTTAAATCTTTAGTATTGAACAAAGATTTGTAGTAATTTAGGATTAAATTATGTAACTCAGATGGTTCATCTACCCAATTCCCAACTGTGTCCTTTAAAGCAATAATTCTATTTCTACATCTTCTGTATAGAGTTGACATATGAAAAACTTAATGTTAGCATCCCCGTCATTTATCCAGTTAATATGAGACTTTAATTTCCAAAATTCTTCTTCAACACGTAGAAGGTTACTATAGTCTAAATTTAATTGCATTTCTAAATTTTGAAGGAATAGACTAGTAGGATAATGAACTGATGCTTGTATGTCTGCTAGTCTAGCTAGAATTTTCTTTTTTCTTGGAATATGTTACCAAAAGTTTGCTTATTCCATCTAGTTGCTACTAACTGAAATTTACGAAAAGTGTCAAACAAAGGTTGATCTTCTGACCAAATATTATGAACTAGTTGTTGAAAATGTGGGTGTGAAGCCCACATAGTTTCAAAACGAAAAATGTTATGATGTATAGCTGTTGGGGGTTCTAAAGTAATTAAAAGAGGGCAGTGATCGGAATGAGTACGTGGTAAATGGTTAACTAATACTTCAGGATATAGGTTTAACCAATCATAGTTGGCTAAAAAACAATCAAGTCGCTCTAGGATTGTGTATCCATGTCTACGTTTATTAGTCCAAGTATATCTACTACCCTGAAACCCTAAATCAATTAACTTGCAAGTATTAATAAATTTTCCAAAATTATCAGATCTTTTATTATTGATAGGGAGGCCGCCAAACTTGTCTTTTGATTCCAAAATTTCATTAAAATCTCCCCCAATTAGCCAAGACATAGAAACAGTGTTATGCAAATTTAGAAGATTATACCAAAGTATATTACGTAGTTGATAATATGGGCTAGCATATATCGCAGATAAAAGCCAAGGTTGTTTATTTGGATTTACCTGGACCATACAGTGGATCTCTTGCACAGAAAGCCTCATTTCTGTAACATTGATACTAGCTTCATTCCATAACACAAGTAATCCACCTACGAGACCATTTGCTGGCACTTGTGACATATTTGTAAAATTGAAATCATCACGCAACCTAGTGTGATCTTGCATGTGAGTTTCAAGTAAAATGGCTAACACTGGCCTGTGATTATCTAGGAGAGATTTAAAATGCCTACGGAACTTTGGATTGTGTGACCCCCTACAATTCCATACTAGGAAATTCATATAAGAATTAGGAGAGGTTGTCTCCCTCATGGGAGGTGGAACCATCGGACTAACTGCCTGAGTCATCGTCTGATCTAGACTCAGAGAGAGAGGTAGCTGTAGGAGTGTGGGGATGATCACCATCGCATACTTTCCTACTTCTGGATTTATTGTTTGACGAAAATTTAGACTGCATGCTATCATTTCTAGGGGGCATTTGAGAATAAACTTTTTTTTGAACTGTTCTTCTAGGTTGTAGAGTTGAATTCTCTTTAGCCACCAAAATTCTATCCTCGTTGCCCTCATTTCTGCTAGTATCTCTGCTAATTCCTGCCTTGTTTGAGTGTCTAGTGCAGGAGGAGATAGAGGAGGTGTGTGTTGTGGACTGTCATGTGGTGTGAGGCTCTCTAGTGGCCTCAGGGGGCTCGCGTAGGGAGAAAGAGGGTTGAAAGTGTCTAGTGCCTGAAACCAAGGGGCATACACTTGACCCATGTGATGAGGAGGATAAAATGGAAGGAGTTGGAAGTTCTGGTTCCCTAATGGGCTCATAAGAGTCAGTGGATATTGCCAGGGAGCTTGTGTTGAGAAAGATGCCTGGTTCTCTAAGAACAGTGGGGTCTGTGTCGAGTACCATTGGTTTTGGTTGTAAGACTCCATTCCTATCCTCATTCCCTCTGTCACTATCTCCGCTAGGTGAGTGGGATTTTGAATTAGCAGCAAACCTCCTGGTTGTTCAATTCCATAGTGAATACTAGGGCATAACCCTGCAGACCCATCTCTAGCCAGGATTGAAAAGGTTGGTCCATGGACATCTGTTGAGATGTGTAGATTGATGTGGGGAATCTGGGGTCCCTGCATGATCAGCCTTGGTAGATGGAAGAAGTGATTGTTCGCCTGCATGTTCTCTTTGAAAATTTGCTTTCGACTACTGTTGATGAAAGTTAGTCTCTGCATTGTGTGTGTTTTCAGAAGAGGGAAGTATTGGTGTAATATTTGTTAAAGGGTCTGTGATATTAGTATCAAGTGACTTAAGAGGCAGAGCGAACAAGGAAGGCTCTAGTGGGATAGATTGAGAAGGGGTAAGAGTGGATGAATCACGTGGACTGTAATCATTGTGTTTGCATAGAACAGTAATTTCATTGCTTTCAGGAATTACTGTGGCATGCAGTTTGATTAATGAGCTATTGGGTAATAAGGAGGACGTGTCTAAGGATGGTAGACCATAGGTGATAAGGCTGTATGTGATAGGTCCATATGAGGAGGTGGAGTGTTACATGGAAAATCTGTCCTATGTGGATTTTGTTGCTGAGGAAACGTGGTACAGTCATTAGAAATTTTTAGAGGCTTAGGTTGTGTATTAGATAAGTTAGAGCTGGGTTGAATAATTTTTTGATTGGGCAAGTAGGGTGGCTGTAATGATGTAGTTTTCAAGTGGCTTAAGGTGGGCTCCGGTTGAGTTTTTGCTACTTTGTCCTGTGAGCCGACTTGGTTTGGGTTACTAGTCGATGGGCTAAAACTCCATGTTGTCAGCTTTTGGTCCATATTGCCCATTAAGAGGACTAAATTTATTAGAGAATTCCTTAGTGGGCTAAGACGGCCCATCTACATTTAGCGCAAAAGAGCGGCCCAAGGCTGGGCCTTTAGGGTTTGAAGACTTACCTGGTAGTAGGTGTGCGGGCGGTTGTTCCAGCGGTGGAGTATTGGTGGTGATGTTGCTTTGTCTTGGTTTATATGAAGAGTTCATCTTTTTTGGAAAAATAACTGTTCTCCACTCTGTTTCAGGTTTGGCAGAAGAAGTGGATGGTTGATTTGTTTGAGGATTTTTTATAGTTTGAGTGGTATGTGGACAGCTCTGAATTGTATGACCTAAATGGTCACAGCTAGTGCAGAGTATATTTATACCCTCGTATAGGAGGTCTTGCCTATGGTTTCCTATGTTTATATATGTTTTGAGGGGTCGCTCCAAGGGTACTTCAATGCAAATACGTGCATATCGTCCCCTTGTAGTTGCTGAAGTACATGTATCAATCTTTAAGAGATGTCCTAATTTAGATCCAACTCGTTGTAATATTTCCACATCGTAAAATTCCGTTGGTAGTTCAGGGAGCCTTACCCAGATTGCCGAGTAGATTAGCTGTGTTGACGATGCAATAAATTTTGGTTCCCACTTACGTACTGATAAGAAGTGGTTTAGAATAAACCATGGACCTCCCTGTAGAGCTTTCAGCATGTTTTCTTCCTGTTGAAACTTGATAAGGAAGAAATCTGATCCCAAGTCAATAATAGGGAGTTCTTCTGTGGGTTTCCAGATCTCTATGAGTTTGTTCTTTAGTAAGTGGTGTGCAATTCTTCGTCCAAAAAGCTTGATAATTACTGAGTATTTCCAAGGCTCATATAATCGCTCCTCATCAGTTGTGGAAATCGGTATAAAAGTATCATCCTCATATGTGCCTCGGATGAATTCATTAGGCAGGTCAGGCTTAGGTAGTGGTTGTTGATGGTTGCTTATAGATGTAGCGAGGTATGTGATGACCCAAACAGTCATCACTTGTTTTAAATTAAATTCGATGACTCTGAGGCCTTAAAAATCTCATTTAGAGTCACCTCGATTTGCGTGCGCAGTCCGGGCGTTTAGCTGGAAAGCTTAAATACGAAAATCTATGAAAAAAATGATAAAATTTGGTTATAAAATGAGTTAATTTGACTTCGGTCAACGTTTTGGGTAAACGGATCCGGACCCGTGATTTGACGATCCCGGAGGGTCCGTAGGAAAATATGGGATTCGAGTGTACGCCCGGAATCGAATTCCGAGGTCCCGAGCCCGAGAAATGAATTTTTAAAGGAAATTGTTTTTCTAAAATTGTTAAGGAAAATTGAAATGAAATTTGATTAGAACGTGATGGTATGGTCCCGTATTTTGGTTCATGCGTCCGGTACAGGTCTTATATATGATTTAAGATGTTTCTGTAGAATTTGGTGAAAAACGGACGCCGTTTGACGTGATTCGGACTTGAATTGCTAAAGTTGATGTTTTAAGAAGTTTGAGAAAAATGCTTTGGTTTTGAGGTTTAATTTGTTGATAACGATGCTATTTTGGCGATTTGATCGCACGTATAAGTTCGTATGATGTGGTTGAGTTAGTACATGTGTTTGGTTCGGAGCCCCGAGGGCTCGGGTGTGTTTCGGATGTGTTTCGGGAAGTTTTGAGTTTAAGAAAAGTTGCAGATTTTCTGCAGTCAGTGCCCAGGGATTTTACCCTTCGCGTTCGCGTGGTATCACTCGCGAACGCGTAAGGCAAAGATCCCAGGTGTCCACCTTCTTCTTCACGAACGTGAAGCCACAGTCGCGAACGCGGAGCCTAGGGGGATTGCTCATCGCGAACGCGAACTGTGTGATGCGAACACGTAGGGTCATGGGGAAGGGGTCACCACTTGTGCATCGCGAACGCGACCACTGGTCCACGAATGCGTAGGCTCGAGGAGTTCCTATTCTGCGAACGCAAAGACTACCCAGCCTGACCCATCGCGAACGCGAGGTGCCCATCGTGAACGCGAAGGGCAATTTTGCCCAGCTATTTTAAAAGACCAAAAACAGAACCCATTACGGGATTTTACCAAAATTTCACAAACCCTTTCTTCTCCAAAGATCCTAGGCGATTTTTGAAGCACTTCTTCACCAAAACTTCTTGGGTAAGTAATATTTAACTTGTTTCCTTCATTTTTCATTAACACCCACTAGAATTCTAGGCCTAAAACATGTAATTAAGGGTAGAAAATTAGGGATTTGGGTAGAACTAGGGCTTTTTGATTTATGGTAATTTAGACCTCGTTTTGGGGTCGAATTCTGAAAATAATTATATATTTGGGCTCGTAGGTGAATGGGGGATTTAATTTTAGTCTGAACCTTGTGTTTTTACCAAGCGGGCCCGGGGTCGATTTTTGGGTTTTTGGGAAGAATGCCTAGAAAGCTATAATTAGGCATTGGTTCGAATTGTTTAGCATTTATTGATGTTATGAAGTCATTTATGTATAGATACAATTGATTTGGAGCCGAATTCGAAAGGAAAGGCGGTAATTGAGGAGTGAGTTGGCCGTGGAAGTTTGAGATAAGTGTTCAGTCTAACCTTAGCTTGAGGGATTAGGAGTTGAGTCATATTTGCTACTTGTTTCTTGTTGAGTACGACGTATAGGCATGGTGACGAGTATCAATACGTTGGTGTCGAACATGACGGTGAGTCTTAAATTGATACTTGTTGTATTCTTGAATGATACTATGGTTGCAAAAGTGAGTAAATCCGTGGTATTGCGCAAAGACTTAGTTTATTTTCGTGGAAGTTACTTATGAGTTTACTGAGATAATTAGGAGTTGAGTTGAGATTGGTTATAGCTGATTCTCCCTTGCCGGGACGTATATACTTGTACTGTTGAGTTCCCTTGCCTAGTATAAATTATGGTTAATCCCTTGATGGGACTATTGTCATGATCATTGTAAGCTGTATACTTGGAGCGGGTTGCGCGCCACAATATTTTTACTACTATTTATATATGGATCGTGTTGCACACCGCAACAGATATTACATTGGATCGGGTTGCACGCCGCAACAGATATTATATTGGATCGGGTTGCATACTGCAACATATATTATATTGGATCGGGTTGCACGTTGCAACAGATATTATATTGGATCGGGTTGCACGCCGCAACAGCTATATATATATATATGGATCGGGTTGTGTGCCGCAACAGTAGTGTTATTGTATTGTTGTAGACATTGTACTGTTCTTTCATATATCTATTTGGTTTCTGCTAGGTTGATATTGTTTTCCCCCGAAGCACGTACCCCCTCCCTCTTAAACTGCTTATTACCTATTTATTTTTCCACCATATATTATATAACTGCACAGGTTTATCTGGAGTCTGGTTTTAGCCTCGTCACTACCTCGCCGGGGTTAGGCCAGACACTTACCAGCACATGGGGTCGGTTGTGCTGATACTACACTCTGCACTGTGTGCAGATACTGGAGCAGCGTTTGGTCAGCAGTAGTAGTTCGGGAGCCAGCCCTCAGTCCACTGAGATCCCGAGGTAGTCCTACAGGCATCTGCAGGCCCGACATCTCTTCTATCTCTTTTTATGATTCTGTTATCATTTGTACCGAGACAGACGGAGTTTCTTTCTTTCAGACATTTGTATGTAGTGATCTTAGACAGTCCGTGAATGTTGTGACACCACTTTCTGGGTAGAGACATATGTGGATTTCCGTATTGCTTAGTTTATTTCGTTTAAATCTTCCACTTTAATCTAACTGTCCGCTGTTATTTAAACGTTTGTCACTTGTTGATATGATTTATAAAAAAGGATTAAAATAAAAGAGTTAATGATTTCTAAGTTCGTGGCTTGCCTAACTTCTACGAGTAGGCGCCATCACGACTCCCGAGGATGGGAAATCCGGATCAGGTATTTGTTAGCAAGAAGTGTTTGGAGGAAGCTTGCTGGCTTGTGGTTGATGAGGTTATCATCTATTTGCATAGAAGTTAGATCGGGTGGTTCTTTGAGTTGGTTACGAGATAAAGGGTAGTTGTCAGGAGGAGCAGTCATATTTAGGAATAGGTTGTGGTTGTTTGCACCAAAAGTTGTGATTGTTGGTGGAGTATCTATGGCAGAAAGTTAAACGGAAGAAAAAGGAAGTTTACATGAGAGCGTTTTTTCAATGCATAATCGTTGAATTCTTCTTTGTTGTGCTTTAGGTCTCATTCCCTCACTTGTTCTTTTGTCCATTCATTAAATAACAGTAGAGTTTGTTTGAAAACACATATAAATTAATTTGGAGTGGTAGGATTCATTGTATTCGCAAATTCTCAATGCTCTTTCTGCTACCGACCATGTTTTTTTTCTTTTCTTTTTAATTAACAACCCGTAGTCGTACCGCGCGATCAGTATTAAAAAATATTAATTAAATTAAATTATGATCGGGCTTGTTTGATCCTATTAGATTGTATTGCTTTAATAAAATTCAATTGTCATCTTACTTGTCAACGATATACCCAATAATGAAATCTCTATTAAATCAAAGGTACTTATATAGTTAGTGAATAACTTTTTTGTTCTATTTTTTTTATTATATTAACCAATATTTAATATCCGCTTTCTTTTGTAATATATGAGAAGATTTATAATTTATTACTGTTGAAATATTTTTTTAGTTTAAATTTTATTCTATTGTTCTTAATAATATTATCTAAATTTTAATGAACAAAATCTCTGTTAAACTAACGGGACTTATACAGGGAGCGCATTGAATAAAGTTTGTGTTATGTATTTTTCTTATTATATCATCTAACAATTAATATTATTCCATTGTTAATAGAAAATTTTATTAACATGTTACTTTATTAAATATTTTTCTCTGAAAGTTTTTTATGTCTTTATTTTCGTTTTATTTATTTTAAAATAATTTTAAAACTCCAACTTGAAACTAATCCCCAATTTGAATTGCTAATTATTATTTTTTTAATTTTGTTTTTTATATTAAAATTATTTAAAAACTCCAACTTGAAACTACATCCCGATTTGAATAGGTATTCTTCTCTTTCTTTCGTTTTTTTATAGCTATTTTTTTTTTGCTTTTTTATTTTAAGATAATTTATCAACTCCAACTTGAAACTTTCTTTATTTTCGTTTTTTTTATTTTAAAATAATATTTGAAACTACTTCCCGATTTGAATGGGTAGTACATCCCGATTTGAATGGGTAATTTTTCTTCTCTTTCTTTCGTTTTTTTATAGCTATTTTTTTTTTTTGCTTTTTTATTTTAAAACAATTTAAAAACTCCAACTTGAAACTACTCCCACCCAATTTGAATGGGTAGTTATTTTTTTATATTTAATTATAAGATATTTATATTTAATTATAAGATATCTATATTTATTAGTTTAAATAAAGTAATCAATTAATATACATACATATATATATATGGTAGTTTTTTATTTTATTTTATTATTTTCGTTTTTTATATATATTTAAATTCAAAAATAATAACCAATAACTAATTATGCCATGTAGCTTTTTTTTAGGTTGCCACTTGACTTAAGGAGAGGACTTTTTCCTCTCCTTTTAATAATATATAGATATAGATTTGAACCTACTCATGAGTATTACAAAAGAAATCAACTTGATGTAGATATATAGGAACTTCTAACGTTGGATTGCATTGGATTGGAGAGTAAAAAACCAAATTACGAAATTTTAAGTGCAACATTTTTAATTTTATATAATAAATGAGAACGATAGTTTTCACTTTGAATAATGAGTTTTCCTAGAAAAATATTGGAGCATTATTTGCCAAATTTTTTGAGTAGTTATTTGTCAAAGACTGAAAAAGCGCCCAAAACATTCTGTATATTATATATTTATGTATTTTTCGATTATAAGATATAAATAGTATCTGCCGCAGGCTAAAAGTGATAATACCTAAAAATGTTAGGAGCATTATTTTCCAAATTTAGGTTGTTCACTTCCAATCATTAATCTCTCTCTCATTTTATATT